CACAGGACATTTGCACCAACAGGACCTCTGATAGCTATGACACACACCGAGTCCTTTCTTCCTATCAGTGCTGATAAAATATAAATATAAAGACCTTCCCACCAACACTGAAAACATATCAGGTCACACAGCTCTTTCTTTATCTCTACAGATGCATTTAGACTGCAACATCTAATTCACAAGATCTAATAGTTTTATTAGATATTTTTATTAGAGACATCCATTTTTAAAATGTAAACCCAACCATTTTACTGTGGCCTCCACTAATATCGGCACCCTTGATACAAATGAGTAAAACAGTGTCTTTGCGCTTTATACTCTTAGTATAATCTATCTATCTATCTATCTATCTATCTATCTATCTATCTATCTATCTATCTATCTATCTATCTATCTATCTATCTATCTATCTATCTATCTATCTATTATACACAGACAGCAGTGCAAGAATACAAGAACGTTCCTGTCCTGTTACTATGGCTGAAAATGTCATTTTTCAGTCCCATGTTCTTCAAAAATTCTCTTTTCTGTTCCATGGAAAAATGAAAAACACAGGTTTGGAGCGACATGAAGGTAACGGAATGCTAATTTTTGGGTGAACAATAAATTTAAGAGGAGAATTAATTAAGTGTTTAGATAATGTCTATATCAGATGTAAGTTAAGTATCAGATTTATAAAATTGCTCAAAATCTGATTTAATAAGTGTATGTGTGGTTTACTGTGCACACACACAAGATCAGATCTGTGCCAGATGTCAGTGAAAAAAAAAATCACAACTAGTTGAGAGTCAATGCAGCCATACGGGACAATTTTATTATCTTTTTGTGATGACAGATGCCTTTGTTAATGTTTGATAGAACACTCCTTTTTACTTCCTGTCATCTTCCGTTATGCCACGGCAGAGGAGATAATAAAACCAACTCTGAACATCAAAGCAAAGCGCACAATTACTAAAGACAGCCTATCACTCTCCGCGCATATCACCATGTTTACCCAGACTTGTGTTGGTGGAGTATAATTTTAATCAGGTTTGAGATATCTCTCTCTCTCTCTCTCTGTCTCTCTCTCTGTCTCTCTCTCTGTCTCTCTCTCTGTCTCTCTCTCTGTCTCTCTCTCTGTCTCTCTCTCTGTCTCTCTCTCTGTCTCTCTCTCTGTCTCTCTCTCTGTCTCTCTCTCTGTCTCTCTCTCT